GTCAAGTTGTCAAAGAACATTCTTCTTGTGAATTTTGCTGGTGCTGGTGCTCTAGATTCAGTGAACAGGTGGTGGGATTGTTGCTTCACTCTTACCTGCACCTTTATTAATTTGTTCGACAGTAGTAGTGAGTAGTAGTACAATAGAGTAGTAATTCACTTCCTTGTATCTAACAGTGAAATTCCTTTTATCAGCTGTTAAAATTAAATTTTTTACAATATTTAAATTTTATTTGTCTCTTTTATAATTGCTTTTAAGTCGTTTGGTTCTTCAAGTATTTCTGATACCTTCATGAGGATTTCGTCTGCGATATTTTGCCTGATAGTTCATTCCGAACTAAATATTAGACAATTTTCCTTGTTATACCACAATAATTATGTATTAGACAATAAAGATAGACAATTGTCCTTATTATACCATCCATTATATTAATTGGTTTTGACTTCTTTGACTTCTGTAAATTTCCAAATCTGTTTTTGGCTCTCTGATCATGCTACGGTTGCAGCTTTCGTAGAATGGCTGATAAGCGGTTTATTTTGTCCCAGTTACTTCAGTATAATGAGTTTCTTAATTGAATGTTCATTGTCAGAAGTTTTGTATCTGTTTGGGACAATTATCCTCTGGATTGAGAAATACATTCATGAAGTGTAAGTTCCATCTAAGTGGATTATCTGCGCAGGGGGAAGCATTTACCAAAGGTTTTTTATATATATATATATATATATATATATATATATATATATATATATATATATTTGGGTATACTTTTTGAACATTATTTTAGTGTACGGGTCATTAAACATTGTTATTTGATATTTATATTATTTAGCGTAGTTTTGTTTAGAGATTGCAATGGAAGTAGAAGTCAGCCAATCCTCTGGTATTTCTTCTTTTTCTTAGACTGTATTAAAAAGTTTGGTGAGCACATGTATATTTCTCTATTTAAAAACTTTAATAGTTCAACAGGCATTTCGTCCAGACTAGGAGCTTTTCAGTTTTTCATATTTTTGGGCGCAAATAGTACCTCTTAATTTATTATCATTGGTTCACTGTCGGGTATTTCTGATATTGTTCATTTTAAAAGAGACCTTCTATATATTTTTTTCAAGTTTGCATTTTTGTTTCGTTGTCCAATCTTCTTAAACGAGGCGTGTAATTCTTGTAGATTTTCTATTTCTCAGCATTTATTATTCAACCAATTTTCCTTTGCTTCCCTTATTTTTTCGTCTTTCGCTGTGTATCTTGGCATATCTTAATTTTGTTATTTTAATACAATTAAATTAATACAATTTTATTGATCCTTCTGTTCTCCATTAACTTAAGTAATGGAGAGTATAATGAAGAGTGGGTACTTAACTTAAGTATTTCATCGGTTATCCAATTTTTTTTCTTTTTTTGGCGGCACTTTTTATTCAGTTTATTTTTACTTATTTGTAATATACAGAAGTTCCTCCATTGGAGGCTTGCATCCTAATTTTTTCTATTTTCAATAATTGTAGTTGGCAGTAGCTTTTCATTTATTTTTTTTTTCAATGTTTAGTTTTTATTTCCCTTTCTCTCAGCGTGGAGAGGTTTAGATTTAACCTGAATTCAGCAAGAGCTGGGTTGTAATCAGAAGCTACGTTAACACCTGGTCATCGGTCTACACCACTAATTAATAATCGAAATCGCTCCATAATCAACAGAGATATAACGAAGTTTCAACTGCAAGTGGATTTTTGCAGCGCAAAGTAATCATGAGCGGTGGGTGATATTAATGGAACTCTAAAGTACACTATTTAAACTAGTTCTCAAGTTAGTTAGAACTGCTAATAGTAATAAATATAAAAATTTTGAATTAAAAAAAATCACATCAATTAGTAGGTTTACAAAACTGGCATGTTTGTTGAAAAGTTCTTTGCAAAAGGCATAACCAAAGCTAATACATTTTTTCATGAAAGGCTTTTTGAAAAGAATATATAAAATTTAGGTCTTGCCAAAAAAGGCCCCGTTGAGCAGTTTACACCACATTACATATCTTTTTAATAAACAAATTCACTATATGTAAATAATTATACACTCATGGACAAAATTATCGAATATTTTGGAATTTTCCAATTTTTTTTTTTGAAAATAAATTCTTTTATTTTAACAATGTTTAATGAAACAGTTTTGTTTTTATGCGGAGAAAATTGCGAAAAAATAAGGCTTAATTGTTCAATAAATAAAGATATTTTACTCTACTGAAATGCTAATTTAAATTGATAAAACAAGTGTATGATCAGTAAAGAGTATTCCATCTCTAGCTCTTAGTACTGTTTGCATTCTTCTCGGCACGCTTGGAAGTAAATTTTAGACATATTATTGAAGAATTGTTGGATTTAAATCCGGGCTAAATGGTGGCCAATCCATTCTTTAAATTTGGACCCCATCAAGATAACTACTCAATAAGAGCAGAGGCATATGGTCGAGCATTAATATGAGTCTGTCATATCCAATGTAACCAATATATGGCAAAACATGATATTACAGGATGTTTTGAATGTATGTCACCAGTCATTCGTCCAATCACTTTCACAAGTGCAGTACGTATCTCGCAATTAATACCTCTCCAAAGCATTATGCCACCAACTCCAAAACTAACAATCTGGGCGAAATTGCAAGCGGCAAATCATTCTCTAACTCTTAAAAATCCCGTGATTTTTGAAGTAGCTTCTGCAATATGTTATTCTACTGAGGCCAAAAAGATACTGTATTGCTCTTTTTTGAAAGTTATAAACAACATCAGATTATGGCAGCTGTTCTAGAACCCCAATAAAAAAGACCATCTCGAAGATGACACTCGATCTAAGAAAAATATGTTAGTTTGGAATATGCTAAATTGATTTCCTTCGAAACAGATCTCATTCAAAGACTGAGACTTCTAGGAAATTAAAACTGACTTCCACCAACATGTTTTTAATTTGAGGGGTTTTTGCATCACCTCTGCTACAAAATGGGTATGAAATTGGTGATTTCCACGGTTTTCTTAGATCTCTTAACATAAAAACTAGAACATGATCTGCTATATATGAATCTCTGTCATCTCCAATGTCTTCAAAACCTTCTATACATCTACTGTGCTCATGGTAATGAAGAGTTGGTATAATCGCCATTTCATCAAATAATATAGCTATATGCTTATCCATTCCTTCCATTTTTAATATTGTTGCTTTTAGTGACTCAAGTACCAACTTATTAATTCCTGGAGCTCAAAATAGTTTGAGCCAGAAGTCTGTTTAATGATGACTTACCAGGTAAGATAAATAAATTGGAAAGAATACTATATTAGAATAAGAATTAGAGCACTTTGTTTTTAGTAAGACAAAGCTAAACATTTCTCATTAAGAGTAAATCGTTGTATCTTTTTACTCCTTAGCTTCAAATAGTCTGCGTTTAAAAGATTCAAGGTGGAGAACATGAAAAACTGGGTAAGAAATAGAAGAGTAGAATCGATCGATCATATACGTCAAATGATAATAGAGTAGTAAAGAAGGCAAGCGACGGTTCCCCAATAGGAAGACGATCAGTAGAAAGACCACGAAACCGAAGGAATGACAAGTTACTGGAGGCACATTGAAAAACAGACAGAGTCATGTCTATATAAAAAGTAGAAGAAGAAGAAGAAGTTTTGTTCTAAACTAAACTGCAGAGTATAGTATAGTATAGTGACATCAAAATATTTGTATCGATACTATAAATGACATTTAGTTTAGTTTGACCTTGAGCTACCTGCGTAAAACGTCTAGTTATTAGTGATCTGTGATTAGTACTAAAAAATTATTGTATTTGTACTACCAATTATTCTAAAAATTTCTTGTTTCAAAGAAAAATGTACTGTTTGTAATAATCATTGGCTTAATATATTTGAATTGCGTATTTCATATATTATTTATTATAGGTATACCTTAATTATAAATAATAAACGTAAATACGTGGTTCAAATGAAAAGCGGAGAGTAGAATATTAGAAATAAAAACAGCGTTTGATCAAATCGCTAGAGACATGATATGGATACTCGAATGCTAAATAGTGTGTCATATGTTGGTAAAACATTTTTGCTCTAAACAATTTTTAATTATATTTAACGAAAAATTTTAATTAACAATATTCACAATTAGTTTATCATTAATAACATTGAATAGAAAAACTCGCATATTGATTGCTAGCATTCTGATAATTAAATAAGGATAATTGAGCCATCTATAATCATCGACGTTTTCTCCACTCCCAAATTGTCCAATGTTTAATTATAATTAAAGAGGTTAACGATTGGCTGTAAAGAAAACAAATCGTCGAAGTAGCCTTGGACATTGATAAAATCAGATAACCCGAAACTAATTCAAAGTAACTACTGCCAAATTCACCTGTCGCAACACACCTTTCCTACACTAAAATAAACAACAATCACAACGTCGTTCATGCCGCGGTTATTTTCGTCATTTCTCCCCTCAATGAATCATAGGGAGGCCAGAAATAAACAGCCAGACATTATATTAGCCAAAAACTGTTTAATTTTTAAAAATTGGTTCAACATTATATACCTGGGCGAAAAGCAAAATAATCAATGAGATTTGCCTAGGTACTTATATTTTAATGTAAATGTTAATAAACAAAATTAAAAGTTAAAAACAACCTGCAAAATCTGTCTTCAGCGTCTTCAGCAAACATTGAAAAAGAGTTTAATCTAAACACAAAAAGTTGTAACAAAATAACAACTGTATGATATAGCTTAGGTTGGTTGGCAGCACTAGACTGGTTGGTTGACTTACAACCTTCAGTTGTAAGAAAACTATAAAATGGAGTCAGCCACGGCACCAAAAAACATCGTGTTCGATCAACATACAAGTCAAAATTATGAGAAGTTTATGAACAGTTTCTCTATATATCTAACAGCAACTGGCCTCTGTAATAAAGATGACGAAACTAAAATTGCAATTTTCTTAAATTCAGCTGGCGAAGATGCTTAAAACGTATTTAGAATGTTAACGTTTGTTGGTGACGAGGGAAAAAACTCCGGTAAAGTAATACAGGCGTTTGAGGAGTATTGCAAGGCACTTCGGAACGAAACTTATAATAGATATAAGTTCTTCAACAGAAGTCAAGGTGAGGATGAAGAATTTGATAGGTTCCTGACAGACATTAAAATGTTAGCAAAGCTATGTAATTTTGGAGTACTAGAAGATTCACTAGTCCGTAATAAAATAGTGAGTGGCATTCGAGACCAGACAATGCAAGAGAGATTATTAAGAGTTCCAAATTTGACGTTGAGGAAAGCCGAGACTCACTGTATAACATCAGAAGCAAGCAAATTTCAATTGAAAGATCTTAGAAGAGAAATGGAAGTTAACAGCTTAAGATGCAGAGGAAATAATAGTTTTAAAAATGATGCTATAAGGAACATAGGTGCAGATAATAATAACACCTCTAACAATCAAGATTACAATTGTTTAAAATGTGGGAGACGACATGGTCCAAGAAGCTGCCCAGCTTATGGTAAAATATGCAAAAGATGTAATAAACCAAATCATTTCCAGGTAGGATGCAAGTTTTCTAATTTAACTATGCAGGCCACGATTATTTAACTGTTGTCAACTACTACAGCAACTAGCTTGAACTAATTCCATTAGAATATAAAACAGCAAAGGAAGTGAGTGATAAACTCAGAAATCTGTTCTCAACTCATGGCATTCCTAGCGTTCTTGTTGCAGACAATATGACATTTGGCAGTTGTGAGTTAAAAATTTTTGTGCAAGTTGGAATATAAACCTAATCACATCTAGTCAATTATATCCAAGGTCAAATGGACCTGCCGAACGTGTTGTAGGAATCTGTAAAGGCATATTTAAAAAATGTCATGACTCTGGTAATGATGTGCAGCTAGCACTTCTAGAATATAGGACATCGCCGTTATCAGGACTAAATATTTCTCCTTCAGAATTGTTAAATGATAGACTATTAAGAACAACATTACCAGTATGCAATAAAATTTTAGAAGACAAGCCTACAGTGGAAATAAATGAAATAAGGAAAAAAGGGTAGAGACAAAGCATTATTATGATAGACAGGCGAAGGAAACAGATGGGTTTCATAAGAGATAAAGTGTAATGCTTAAGAAAGACAAGATCTGGGTGCCTGCAGAAATTATAGATAAACATGAGAGTCCCAGGTCCTATATTGTAAAGGATTTCGAAAATAATGAATATAGAAGAAATGCATCATTTATAAATTCTTCTCCACATCCTTTTAATACTCACCCTGAATGTTATCCTAGTTTAGAATTGCTTGCTAGAAAATCTTATGAAAATATATCTAATACATCATCAGACAAACTTGATAACAATTCCCATAAAGATATTAACGGTTCAAGTGGTAGTAGTAAAAACGAGATTCAACCTCAAACTTGATCAAGTAGGAGAATAATCAAGCCTTCTAGATTTAGGGAGTAAAAAGGGAGATGTATGATATAGCTTAGGTTGGTTGGCAGCACTAGGTGTGACGGAAGGGAGGGATATAGGTATATCTAGGATATAGAACATAGGTTATAAGATGAACACGTTATAAATAGAGATAATAAAATATAAAAGGTATTGTGTGTGTCATTACATGATCATTATAAATCTAATACAACAACTAATGACTTTAGGGGCCAATGTGTAACAAAATAGTTGCCAATATGTAGCACTGAAGATAGCCCCTTAGCCATTGGGTGCTAGTTGTTTAACAATAAAATGACATCTCAATCGTATTATAATAATAAAATATAATAATATACTATAATAATAAAATAATATGTGAAATGCAATTTTTAGATTCCCCATATCTTTCTTTTATCTTTTTTATCGTCTGTTTTGCCTTGCAATTTATAGAAGGCTCAGATTAAAGCAAAAATCTGAAGTTTGGTTTCGTCAACCAAAAGATCTTCGCATTTCTACTTTCGTGTTTTGAAATATGCCAAAAAAATAGGGTAGCACAGAAGATACAGCTGGAAACAAATAGACGACATCAAAGATATAAACGCGAGCTGGAAGGAAATTAAAAACAACAATAAAGAAGCAGCAACAGAAGCTCTAGGAAAATGCTAAGTCATACTGAACAAAAGAAACAACAACACTACATCATGGTTCAGCAACAAAAGGAAATACGTAAAGCGAAACGAGAGGCCTACATGAAGAACAAAACTTGGAAAGCGACTTCTAGAGTACACAAGACTTTTTCTTGGTCTTCCAATACTTTCTTCGTCCATTTGTTGACTTATCTCGTGCTATTCGTACTAACCTATCTTCTGCCATTTTACTAATGTGTTTGTTCCACTCCTGTTCTGTTTTGTCACCCATCCATTTATGTCTTCTATATTGCATGCTCTTCTTATGTTTTCGCTTCTCTCCCTATCCAAAAGACTTTTCCTTGATATTCATCGAAGTATTTTCATCTCTTTTGTGGACAACGCTTGAACCATCTAAGGTACGCTGATGATATCGTATTGATAACTGATAAAAAAGAAGAATTATTTGAAATGATGAAAGAACTGAACATAGAAGCTGGAAAGATAGGCCTTAATATGAATTACAGCAAGACCAAAACCATAACAAATACAGATGAAGACATCACAATGAGAATCAGACAAGATGAAATAGATCAAGCTCAGGATTATATATATATATATATATATATATATATATATATATATCTTTGGTCAAACTATAAAACTTAACAAAGAGAACCAAAAAGCAGAGATAAGGAGACGAGTTAGAATGGCACGGGCGGCATTTGGCAAACTAAGCTACATTCTTAAAAACAAACGATATCCACAGCATCTTAAGACCAAAGTATACAATCAATGCGTACTCCCTGTTCTTACTTATGGTTCCCAAACGTGGATATTTACAAAAGCAAACATGGACAAAATCATAAAAACCCAAAGAGCAATGGAAAGACAAATGTTGCACATAAGACTAATGGATAAAAAGAGAAACGAGTGGATAAGAGAGAAAACAAAAGTGAGGGATGTTAGACAAGAAGTTGCAAAATTGAAATGGAGATTTGCCGGACACAATATAAGACAAAAAGAAGACCGATGGAAGAAAATTCTTACAAGTTGGAGACCATGGGAATATAAACGAAGCAGAGGAAGGCCCCAAATGAGATGGGCAGATGATATCAATAAGCACGTGGGCTTTAGGTGGATGACTGTAGCGACAGACAGAGAAGAATGGAAAAGTATTGGGAGCCTATGGAGAGATGGACCGAAGAAGGCTAATTAGATAGATATATTTTTATCTCTGTTGTTTCTAGTAGTCGTCTCGTTTTAGATGTGTCAGGTTTTGTCTCCGCTGTGTATGTTTATATAGGTCAAATTGTTGCTTTATAGATTCTTGTTTTTATGTCTTGTCTTTATGGTTTGTTTCCAGATTGTGTCATTACGACATCCTCGTCGCTTTACTTGCTTGTAAGCTTTGTTGTCGTGCTTCTTCTTCAACATCTCCGTAATTAGTTCCCAGATATCTAAACCTTGCTTTCTGCTTTAATATTTCCCATCAGTTTCAATTTTACATCGTAGTGGGTATTTAGATGTTGTCATACATTTGGATTTTTCTGCTGATATTATCATATTGTATTTCTTGGCTGTAGTATTGAAGATGTGTGTTACTCTTTGGAGCTCGTCTTTTGTCTCGGCGATTAAAGCGGCGTCGTCTGCAGAACATAATATTTGGATTTCTTTGTTCCCCATTCTGTAACCATGATTCCCCAATAACATAACCAAACAAATTTAAGATCCAGCAAAAGAAAGTTAAAATGCAACTAAAGAATGTCAAAGCATCTGAGAGAGACAGTGTAACATTGAAACTAATAAGAAATGATAGATAAGAAGTATTGAGTCTTATTCATAAATTTTGGAACAAGAGAAGCCTTATTTGGTATTTAGGTTATAGTTTAACACTCCAGGGTTGTGTTAGTGCCAATATACGCTTGTTTTATAGATTATAAAAACCTATTAAGTTGGATGAAGCTCAAAAAACTATCCTTCGCAGAACTGTACATTTATTTTTCTTTGAAAATATGGCTCTAACTCTCAGATCTATATTAAGTAAAATATGACGTAATTATCTACGCTTAATTAGGGAATATTGTGCCGCAAAACGAACAATTTTTACCTTGGCAAGACCTAAGTTAATGCATGACATACAGTCGCTCTTATTGGCAGCGACACTGGTTTTCTGAAAAATGGTGTAGATAGTATAGTCCGACAAGCGAGAGCTGGCGGGTGAGCTGCGCGAAAATAGAAAAGAAATTATTCTAAGAGAGATAGGAGACGTACTTAATCGCGATTATAGGTATATAGTATAGGTACTTAAACGGTTATACACGATGTGATCTCCTAGCCGACTGCAATAGAAATGAGCAATCCCTTCCACTTTTCAATTTGTTCTACGCGCTACCCGCCAGCTCTCGCTTGTCGGGTTATAACTCAGTCATAGTATTGGACAATACATCTTACTACAGTCGCTTTGTGGAACGCATTCCAACGATAAGTGGTAGAAAATCCGTCATGCAGAGCTGGCTACACGAAAAATGTGTTTTATTAACAGAGGATGTGATCAAAGTAAAACTATTGACAATAAACAAGGAACATCGTGGTAGATATCGCTAATATGCTGCTGATTCAATGGCTAGACTTCATGGTATTATTATTTAGAGACTTTTATCTTACCATTGCGAGTTGAATCCAATTGAATTAATTTGGTATCAAACGAAGGGATATGTTGCCTGAGAGGAAATAACATTTAAAAAGGGTGAATAGCCGTTCTGAAAAGCCCTTTTAGGGCGATATACGTATAAGCAGATAAATACGGGCGTACTACTCGTAAAATCAAATCTTGACTGTCTTTTCCTTTTATGTTGTGGAACGCAATTTTTAGATTCCCAATATCTCTAATAAATCTTTATCAACGTCTATTTTGACTTGCAATTCTTAGAAGGCACAAATTAAAGCAAAAATATGAATTGGTTTACGGAATTATATCTTAGATATTATTTTGGATAAGATTATTATGGTAAAATCGATCAAAAATACAGTTGTGTCTTCATAACTTCCTTTGCGTTAAATCCATATCATGGACGTATAAATAACGTCCATGATCCATATCATTACATAAATACTAAGAGGTTTTATATTTATGTACAAATATTCAAAACAGAATCTCATTCATATCGACTTTCTTTTACAACTCCTCGAAATTTTTAATGGAACAAATCTCTTACTTTGACTACTAAATTACATAACAGTTTATATGAATTAAAATTATCATTTAAATATTGTTTGTTACACGATTTTACGACATATACATCGACCAAATTTAATCATTTAATGACACATTTACGACTCTTCTAATTTTAAAATTTGATGTTTATATCAAATCTCGTATTAGAGTGAATGATTGGTGGGTGTTAGCAACCCATTAAAATCGAAAAACATTCGGCATACGAAGATTTTTGGCTGCAATGTCTGGAAGTTTATTTCTGACCTTCCTCTGAATCATTGTTGAAAAGGAGTAGGTTATAATATAAATACACAAATAACAACTCCAGAAATTACATGGTTTAATTTTAATGCATAATTTCAGCGTTTTTACTAAAAATACGTTTGTTCTTTTTTATTTCTATAGTTGTATGTACTCAAATATGTCAAAAACGCTGTTTTATACTTAGTACTCACAGAATTTTTACGTCGTACTAATTTTGAATGTTAATTGTGAATTAAATTGGCTATTTTACATTTATACACATTCTCCTTGGTGCTTAAGTTATTGCTTCATTTCACCTTCCACCACTCTTCCTTCTATCATTCTGTTCCGTATGCCTGTTTTACATAGTAAGGTAAAGTGTACCAAATACCTTCCCCGTAAGCAAAATCTTAAATTCTGAAATTTCATTTAGAGTTAAAATAATGGAAAAAACTGATTTAAGTAACTTAACTCAATGTCTAAGAGTTTTGCTAGTACGATTCTGCTAAATAAAATTTCCTGAAGTAAAAATAAATAAATAACAAAATAAAGCATATTTTGGTTCTTTAAAAATAGTATCCCAATTCCGTCCCCCACCCATTCCTAGTTAAAATGTATAAAACGTTTTTTACAAATGGCACATGGTGCATCTTCATCACCAGAACTATCCTCATCATCGGTTGATAGCAGTGGAACTTCTGTTTCGTCCTCAGAGTCACTTGAATTTAAATCCCACTTCGTTATTTCCGTCTTGGGACGTTTGTTCAATGATGTGCCAGGATTTTCTTTATCTTCCATGATGAGACGTTTCTTAGCCTTTGACTGCCTCTTCTCTTCTGCCATTTGTTTCTTTTGTAAAGAGATTTTGAGTGAAGTTTTGTGAGGAGATCCAGTTAACAAGAATGAAGTACCGGCTCTAAAAGATGTGGAAGGTTCGATAACTGGAACATTCTGGAGGTCTCGTAGACTGACCACTTGAGGTGGGACTGGAATATTCTGGATGTCTCGTGGATTGACCGCGAGGGGGACTAGAACATTCTGGTTATCATTATCCCGTCCATTAGCAGGTACCTCTTGCTGTTCAAGATGTCTAGTAATAAAATCAGAACTAAATGGATGGATCCCACTCTTCCTAAACCCATTGACGGCCGTTTCAAGAGTAGCTGCACGAAGATACGCTTCACAAGAGAGACTGGATATTTGCAGTTTCCTGACAACTCTATTTGGGTTACTAGCCAACCATTGTTCTATAGCTTTTGCGTATCTAGTTTTCAAAGGAAACATAAACGATACATCCAAAGGCTGTAGCTTATCTATTGAGTGTGGAGAAAGGCAAACTATAGATACTTCTGACTCATTTGCAATGTCAATAAGTTCGAGATTTCTAGTGTGGAAATCATCATCATCATTGGCTTTTATAACTCTTCGTGAGTTTTTGCCGCGTTTACTATTGCCTTCCATTGATTCCGATCCTGTGCTATTATTTCCCATGGCCTTACTTCCATCTTCTCCAGGTCTTCCCTGACAGCGTCTTTCCACCTTTTTCTAGGCCTTCCTGCCGATCTTTTACCATCTGGTCTTTCCCAAAACACATTGCTAATCAGTCTGTCGTCATCACTCCGTACCACGTGGCCTGCCCATCTTAATCTATTGGCTTTTATGTATCTTACGATGTTTCCTTTCCCGAAGAGAGTCTCTATTTCATTGTTGTATCTGCTCCTCCATTCATTTGTCACGCTGTCCCTGCAAGGACCATATATAATTCGCAGGATGGAAATAGTGACCATCAAGGATAAGCACAACAGGATTCTTTTTTGAGGAGTTCACAATGAAACTGAAACGTTTAAACCACTTAAGAAAAAATGGACCAGTTACCCAACCTGAATCTGAACATCCGCCTATCGACTCCGTAGGAGCTCCATTAAGCAATTCTTCCTGTCACCTTTTAAGTGGAAATATTAACAAGGGTGTAATATACTGGCTTGCTGCTGATATATAGGTTATGACTGTGCTTGTGGATCCACGTTCAGTAGATGAAAGTTTATGCACTTGCTTTTTCCCCTTACAGGTTACTACTCTAGTAGCTTTGTGTTGGACTACAGATATTCCTGTTTCGTTTTTACATTAATTATTTTTGATGGGTCAAAGTTTATTTTTCTCGAATTCGTGCTTTAGGATAGAGAAATACTTGTCAACATTTTCTTTTGTGAATCATGACATATTTCGGATATTTTCATTTTTATCATTGTGTCTTCTAGAATTTAATATAGAAGTACTAGGAATTTTCTTTTTAAAAAGTGTAATAAATATGCAATGTTCAGTAAAATTGAAAATACATTATACATAATACAGTGAAACTTGGATAATTCGAACCTCAAGGGACCGTTAAAAAAATTCGAATTATCCAAAAATTCAAATTAAAAATATATACACAAAAAAACAAAGATGCCTACAAAAACATCTGCAAACGATAAAAATCAACAATAGTTGACCATTTTTATCGCTTGCAGATGCTTTCGTTACTATTTTTGCCCGAATTTTGTCAACCGAAAAAAATGGGCCAACAAAATTAGGTCAGAATACCAATTAAAGCATTTGCAAGCTTTTAAAAATGGTCAGTTATTGTCGATTTTTATCATTTGCAGGTTTTCTCATTGGTATTTTTGGCCAAATCTTAGCCGAAACAATCGGCAGATAAAAAATTCCCAGTGAGAACGCATCATTAAAAAAATAAAACATTTTGTATCAAAAAATTTATTGAAAATAAGAATACATATTTGTTACAATTAATGAAAATAGACTAATTTTTTCTAAAGAAATCCAAAATTTTTAGCTGCTTTTTAGAATTTAACGGCTCGGTACTCGGACTTACATCATTTTTTATTTCAAAGTACCGTTTAAGTTGCGTAATATGGTGTGTTGCTTCGGCCGCACTCGGAACATGTATTTCTCCCGCAACTGATGATGCGTCGTCTTCATCACTCTCTTGTTTGTCATCATTGTCCTTAAGCACTTCAGCGATGATCTCTGTATCGGTTGTTTCACCACATACTGCAACATGTTCATCTACGTTGACAAAATCTTCATAAGAGATGGCAGGATCAGAAATGATGTCCCCCCAGCAGTCAACTGAAAGCAGCTCTTCTGTTAAATTGTCGTCTGTGTTCTCCTCCTTTTTTATGAAACCAGCTCTTTTGAAACAGTGTTTGATCGTTTCGGGTGTTACTTAGTCTTAAGCTTTCTTACACATTCGAGATGCTTGTAGAATGTCTAACTTTATTTTAAGGGTGTCGCAATCTTCCATCAATATGTTTTCAACCAAAAAACGTCTGTAAAAATGTTTAAAAATTTTTATGACACCCTGGTCCATAGGCTGGAGAACTGAAGTCATGTTAGCAGGAAAAAAAATAACTTTTACATTTTCCATCAGTGGGATAGTGGTGTGTGCCGTACAATTGTCAATAAACAAAATAACTTTTCTTTTTTCTTTTATGAACATTTTGTCAAATTTTTTCAGCCAGTTCTCGAAAAGATCACTAGTCATCCAAGCTCTTGCGCTGCTTACATATTCCACTGGTTTTGACTTGACATTCTTAAAATAACGCGGATTAGCCGACTTGCCAATCATCAGTAGAGACAGTCTTTCTGATCCGTTCATGTTTGCACCAATTAGGAGAGTTACTCTTTCTTTACTTAGTTTTCCTCCGTTACATTTTTCATTTTTAAATGCTAGCGTTTTGTCAGGAGTGCATTTAAAAAAGAGACCCGTCTCGTCAGCATTAAAGATATGTCTTTCATCTATACCCTGAATCATATCTTCCAAATTTTTTTTCCACTGGTTGGCTTCTTGCTGATTAATGGTCCCACTTTCTCCACAAATGGATTTGAAAGAAATTTTGTTGCGTTCTTTAAAACCGTCGAGCCACCCTTTACTCGCCTTAAAATTGTTTTTCCCCATTTCAATAGCAAATTGTTTAGCTTTGCGTCTTATAAGGGGCCACTCACGGGAATCTTTTTATCCCTAGCTTGTTTGAACCATTTTAACACACAACTGTCTAAATTTGGATTTTCTGACCCCCTTAACCTTTTTCGATCTTTACCGCACTCACTTTCACTGTTGAGATTTTTTTCTTTATTCTTCAAGTAGGTGGATAATGTGTTGAGAGGAATTCCAAAGTCCCTGGCAATCTCAGATTTTTTCTTCGTCCCCTTTTCTACTTCTCTAATTGTCGCTATTTTTTCCGATAACGTTAAAGTTTTTTATGATTTCGTATTACCATGCGACGGCATCTTTACTCAATACGAAGTGACTTGACGTGATTTGCTGTGATTGCAATTGCAACGCCAACGTGCGTGAAGGGGCGTGCCAGATGGGCTAGAATTGAGGTGACAGGTACGGGTACAATGTACAATGGCCTTGAAACAAGTGCCACGTTAGAACAGAAAAGAATACTACCTCTTTTAGTGGAAATTTCCAGCATGAAGTTGGCATTTTTAACTTGTAGAAAAGTTCGAATTATCCAAAATATAATTCGAATTATCCACGACTTTTTAACATTACTTATATAGGAAATGCTAGGGACCAGAATAAAAATTCGAATTAAAGAAGATTTCGAATTAACGAAGTTCGAATTAAGCAGGTTCTACTTTAATACCCATTAAAAGTTATTAACATTTGTATTACTTTTCATTCTGTGTAAAACTGATAGCATATTCATAAAATACTCTAAATTTTTGTTGTCATTAACAGCATTTTTTGTTATGTGTTTGATGTGTTTGTGCCACTGTATATATTTATTCGAAATTCCCCACATCTAAATAGCTTTATTTTTAGGTATATGGTCGCCTGGGCAAAGGATTGACTTTTCACCAACAAACGAACATAATAAGAAGGACTACGAGAGCCAAGATGAATCCATTCCTCCTATGTGGACACCCAAAAGTGCAAACTCTAGTCCTGTCGCCGAGAGAAAAGAATTTAGGCCTGTTAATTTTCAATCGCCTGTGTTAAGCAGAAGAAACAGAACGTCTTCTGAGGTAAAAAATTCATATCTACTTTTATTTAATTAGTAAATGTTTAAGAAGTATGTGCACATAATATATATACAGGCTGTTTCACAAATAGGTAACCCCGTCTCTAGGGTAGTTAAAAGCTGAAAAATAATTGGGGTTTGCTTAGTAAAAAATTTTGTAACGCCATCTGTTTTCAAGATACAGGGCGTTGAAGGAAAAAAAATTTACGCATTTTTTACGATTTTGCCGAAACTACTGGCAACATTGTAATGAAATTGTATACGAATATGTTTTGGAAGCTGATAAATCCCATGAATTTGTTTTTATATCTGATTCTTATAGAGGGCGCTTGTTACACGGATCGTACTAAGTATTAGTCAATATAACTTTTTTAAGAGTATAATTATTAATCAAAATTTCAAGTAAACTTAAACATCATTCAATTTTACACGAAAAAGGTACTCTTGGTAAAACTCGATACTGTGTACCGTTTTCGGAATGTTTTGATTTGAAAATTATGAAGTAATAATTGATGCTGGTAGTAATGATAAAGTTCTAATAAGTATACCTTCATTTTTTCCAAGTGTGCCATGGAAATCTGACATTTATTGATTGTTATGACAATAAATCAACAATAATGGACCGCAGAAGTGTGACGTCACGACTGTCACATTGTCATTATTACTTTCCAAACAAACATTGAAATGTCAAATCTCAAGACTTTTTAATTTCTATAAAGTTAACCTTTTGCTTCCTCTGCTGCTTTTTCTTGTAAGTATAGTGATTTTTACGATAATACCATCATAATTCAGAGTTCTATTTCTATGAAATATAGTTTAAAAGTTCTGAAACTGAGAAATTCTAACCTTACTTTATTGATACATGCATTTTATTGCTATTAGCATAAAACAATGTGCTTTATTATTTACACAACCTTGTAAAATTGTTGTAGTAACTATTAGAATACTTAAATATTGCAAAAATCGGAAAGATTCTATAAAATAAATGAAAAAATAACGAAAAATACAAATGATCCACACTTAACAAGGTTTTTTTGGAAAGTGAAACTGACAGATGTCAATAAAATCTACGTCATCACTCCTGTGGTCCATTAGAGTTTTGAAACGTTGTTATTTTTAAAATCAAATCAAAATGTACTCAAATGTTGAATACACAGACATGTTATTAACCTTAGGCGAATGTTTGGGATGTTCTAGTGCAGCTGTGACACTTTATGCAGAAAAGTTTCCTAGAAGAAACTTACCAAGTAAAAAACATTTAGAGCCGTTGAACGACGTTGTCGAGAAACTGGAAATGTGAGACCAAATAAAATAATTTCTGGTAGGCAAAGAACAACAAACATACTGGAAAAGTCTAACAACTCTGCAAAGTCTAACAAACATACTGGAACGGCTGAATGAAAAGTGTACCATTATATGGTATTAAAATGAACTTAAAGAAAACAAAATTCATGGTCATTACAAAACATCCAAAAGACAACGAGACACTCCATATTAATAATATCCAGATAGAAAGGGTAGATAAATACAAATATCTAGGAACATTGGTTAGTCAAAACGCAGAACAAACGCAAGAGATTAAAAGCCGTATAGAAATAGCAAGGGCAAAATTTGTAAAAATGAAACATCTATTGTGTAGTAGAGACCTAAGAATGGATCTAAGGATAAGGTTATTGCGCTGCTACATTTTTACAACTTTGCTCTACGGATCTGAGGCATGGACATTGAAACAACTGGAGATTAAGAAATTGGAAGCTTTTGAGCGTTGGTGTTATCGAAGGATGCTACGAATAGCATGGGTAGACAAAATTACCAATATTGAAGTCCTTGATAGGGTTAATAAGAGGGAAGAAATTGTACAGACAATTAAGAGGCGGAAACTTGAATATTTCGGTCATATATTAAGAGGTCCTCGTTATGGGCTACTACGTTTGATTATAGAGGGCAAAATAATAGGTAAAAGAGATGTAGGAAGAAGACGAACCTCCTGGCTACGAAATCTAAGGGAATGGTTTAGTCTGAGCTCTAGCCAACTATTTAGAGCTGCTGTAAGTAAAATAATAATTGCCATGTTGATATCCAACCTTCGTTAGAAGATGGAACCTTAAGAAGAAAGAACAACAAGAACAATTAATAAAGAAAATAATATTTTAAATTTACTTGATCAAGATCCAACAGTTAGCATAAGGAATATAGCAAGACAAACAAATACTTCTTGTTCAAGTACTTGGCGGATACTGAAAGAACAGCAATTACATCCTTATCATTACAGACAAGTCCAAGAGCTTTTGCCAGATGATCTACGGTTAGAGTGGATTTTTGTTAAACATTGTAACAAAGGACAGCCCACAATCCAAATTTTTTAAAATGCATTCTTTTTACGGACGAGGCCACCTTTACGCGACAAGGTATGTTTAACTCCCATAATGTACACTACTGATGTGATGAGAATCCACGAGTCAAAAGGGTATCACATTACCAACACTCATTTAAAGTTAATGTTTGGCAGCAACTTTAGGTAACAAATTAATAGGTTATCATATTCTACCTGGAAATTTAAATGGTAATATGTATCTTGATTTTTTAAACAATTCCGTGTTCGAGATATTAAAGGATTTAACGCTAAACGAGCGAAGATCTTTATTTTTTATTCACGATGGAGCTCCACCACACTTTGATAGAAGGTGTCGTAATTGGTTGAGTAATCATTTTCCGAATCGATGGATTGGTAGAGGTGCAGAAGCTCTGATTCATTGGCCTCCTCGGTCATGCGATTTTAACCATTTGGACTACGCAGTTTGGTCGTATATTAAGGCAAAAGTCTATGCTACAGAGGTAAATTCACGCCAAGAATTGGAAGAAAGAATTCAATGTCAATTTAATGACATCATAGCTGATCCCCTACCGTTTAGCAGGTTAATGGAATCTTTAGAAAAAAGAATAGATTTGTGTATTCGCGAAAAGGGAGTGCATTTTGTACACTTACTGTAATTGAATTATATTTTATGTTCTTAGTCATTAATTTAATTTTCTTCTTGTGAGTTTTGATAATTACTAACTATTTTATACCAGCATCAATTATTACTTCATAATTTTCAAATCAAAATATACCGAAAACGATACACAGTATCGAGTTTTTACCAAGAGTACCTTTTTCGTGTAAAATTGAATGATGTTGAAGTTTACTTGAAATTTTGATTAATAAATTATACTCTTAAAAACGTTATATTGACTAATACTTAGTACGATCCGTGTAACTAGCGCCCTCTATGAGAATCAGATATAAAAACAAATTCATGGGATGTATCAGCTTCCAAAACATATTCGTATACAATTTCATTATACTTTTATATTTTACATTATATTTTTTACTAAACAAACCCCAATTATTTTTCAGTTTTTTACCTACCCTAGAGACGGGGTTACCTTTTTTTGAAACACCCTGTATATCCATCACTTTTTTGAAGCAATACTCTTTACTCTCGTTGTTTGTCGTAGTCTTCAGTTGTGTGTTTTCATATGTAAACTGCTGACCTATTTCCTTATACTTTGTTTTTTGCTACCTATTTAATAATCAGTCCATACTTTTAGCCTTCACTTTAAAACTTTGAAAATCCTCAGCAGTTCGCCTTTAGTTCTTGCCATTATCACTACATCGTCCGTAAGGGCCAGGGCCTAGCTTTTGTTGTCACAAATCATACCTTTTGGTATGCCTATAACCTCCAGCGGATCTTCCTGTTTTAATTCCCTTCTTACTTCAAATTTCCCCGTTAGGCTTCCTTGTGTCCTTATTCAATTGTTGGTCTTCATTTAGATTATTTTTGCTAGTCTGACCATCTTTTCTGGAATTGCAAGTACCCTTAGGACATGGTACAGATGCCTGCTTATCACAGAATTGTAAGCTTGTTTGAAATTCATAAAGAGGAAGTTTAGCTTTAACTGTTGCTCGTACGCACTGCTTTGAATCATTTTTAACACGAATATTTGGTCAATCCCCTTTATGATCATCAACCTACTCGTTTAAGCGCCTTTCCAATCTACTTCTTATGACTGTAGCCAGTACTCTATATGTTACATCCAAAAACATACCCTTATAGTTTTTGCACACTGCTTTATCTCCTTTCTTATGGATGGGGCATACTATTGCCTCCCTCCCTAATTCCGGCATTTCCTCTCGCTCCCCTGTTCTGTGCAGATAATAATTGAAATTAATCTCCAATTGTCTCCTGGTTGTTATGTTTTTATCACTTTACTTAACTTTATCTGTCCGCATCTACTAACAGTATAAAGGCTATTGTTATGTCTATAAAGTTAAAAAAAACAGTTGAAGACAGTAACAGCAATGGTCAAAAAATAACAAACGTGGAAGTTGCTCAAGTACTTTAAACACTACAAAAAGGTAAAGCAGTTGGGCCAAATATCCTTGGAGAAGATTTAGAAAAGAAAGGAACAAGTTAACTAACCGGCTTCTTTAATAGAATTGGAAGTGGAACAAATGCCAGACAAAATATAGAAGCAGTATATGAATAACTATTTAAAAAAACAATGAAAATATACAACACTGCAAAAACGTCGAAACTACTTAATTACACCATGAAAATATGGGGGGGGGTGGAGGTAATTGCTAGGCTGCTATGTGAAAAACCGAAAAATGCGAAAATTACTTTGGATGACTTTGGATTTATGCAATGCAGATTAACAACAGCTGATGAAAATAGAGAAAAACAACGAATATATGATAAGAGTTCCTCGAGAGGTAAGAAAGGAATTGCTGGTGAGTGTGTGAAAATTATGATAGACGTGTATGAGAGGGTAACAACTAGTGTTAAGATAGAGGTGTGGGAAAGACTGAAAAATTTCACATAAAAGAGAGATTGCGATAATGTTATTTTTCCTGGTCGTCGACGTCGTGATTTTTCCTCGTTTTTTCTTTTGATTGACAATGAAATTACAAACAAAAGAACTTTATTGTCTGATTGGAAGTGGTAGTCTTTTTACAACTTTTTACTAATACTATTATTACTTTTTTGGTAGGTGTCCTAAGGTTAAACTTGATTGAGATAGATAAAGGCAACAATTTGGACTTTAATTTGGTGGCCTTGTGGTAGATACAGCCCTCAGTGGCAGCATTTCTATATAAATTCATTGTACTTAAAATATAATTAAAATTCACATATAAACAATAACTGAGTAGTTAAAATTTTAAATATTCATTTAAACATTTTTAGAACTTGGGATCAAAAACACAAGTTCAGGCGCCTCCTTGGAAAAACCAAGATTATAGTAGCGATACAGGATCAGCACCTACAGTAGACCGAAGGCTGCCTACAAGCCGATCAACTCCCGCTACAGGTTTTTCCGAATTTTCCAGTACGTCACGTCTTCCTAAGGCACAGAACCCTACTATCACGCTTCTGCAAAAAGCTAGAGGTAAATGAATATAAATAAATAATATGGTATGCAAAATTTTGTTTTAGATACTAGAATTAATCGATCATCATCATCTTTGGCTCGACAATCCTCTGTGGATCTTGGCCTGCTCTAAGATTCGTCGCCATTCTGTTCGGTTTTTGGCAACATGTTGCCATCTTCTGATTTTTAATATTCGTAAGTCGGTTTCTACTCCTTCGTGGTCGGCCTTTGCTTTTTTTTCCTACAGGTGTTCCTGTGGTTAGCTTTTTAGCAATGGTATTTTCTGGCATTCGTATTATGTTTCCAGCCCATCTAAGTCGCTGTGTTTTAATGAACGTTATGACATCTGGCTCATCAAAGAGCTGATACAATTCAAAATTATATCTTCTGCGCCACTGCCCTTGGTCGTTTACAGCTCCAAATATTTTGCGGAGTATTTTACGCTCAAATATTCCCAAAAGTCTTTCATCTTTCTGCGTTAGAGTCCATGTTTCTGCTCCATATGTGAGGACCGGCCTTAGCAATGTTTTGTATATAATAATTTTAGTTTTTCTTTGAATGTTTCTTGAGTGGAAATGCTTTTGGAGTCCAGAGTATGCCCTATAGATTTATTCGTCTTTTGATTTCTTCGCTTGTTTTATTGGTAGCAGTCAATAGCGACCCAAGGTATGTGAAGTTGTCAACACGTCCAAAGGTATGACTTCCAAAGACTGTTTCTCGTTCCTCATTTGCTATCGGATCCTCTGTAACCAACATGTACTTGGTTTTGTCTTCGTTGATGACTAGACCGACCTGTTTCGCCGCTGTTTCCAATTCTAGGAGATATTGCTCAACATCTCGCTTGCTACGCCCTACTATGTCAATGTCATCAGCATATGCTAAGACTTGTATCGATCTATTGTAAATAGTACCGCCATCCCTAATTCGTGTATCTCGAACTGCCTTTTCTAAGGCAATATTAAATAGGAGGCAAGCTAGAGCATCTCCTTGTCTGAGTCCATCCTTTATCTCAAAGGATCTAGAACTCTCTCCCTGTATTATAAAAGTGGCTTCTAAGTTAGACATTGTCATTCTCGTTAGTCGGATAAGTTTCTCTGGTATACCAAACTCATGCATTGATTGGTATAGCACTGTTCTCTTGACACTGTTCTCTTGACACTGTCGTATGCACTGTAGAATTAATCGATAAAGAGCTCAAAAAGCATTTTTTACTCGTGCTTCATCTTCATATTAGGAAAATTTCCTCTTTTTTATTAAAAACTTGCTGCTAGACTCTTATTTAGCGTAATATTAACGAAAGATATTTCTTTACCAATCTTTTTAGTAAACTTAATATTGCCTTCTTCTTTATACTACTTCTGAGTAACTTAATACTTCTTTTTGGTAAAAGAATTTGTTTCCACAGGCAAATCCACTTTAAGAATAACTTTACTGCTAAATTTATTGGGGATATATTATTTATGCTGGTTTAAGTTATACAGTTCCGATTTTTTTTTTATATTAGAAGGTCAACTTCCAAAAGGAGCATCTTATATTGATCAAGAACCGAGACAATACAGGTTGAAAAACGAGAGACCTCCTTTAGCTGGACCTGGTGAAATTTGTAAGTATTTCCAAATAGAATGGTATATATTTTTAGTATATTATTATGTTTTTTCTGAAAAAATTGTTCAATATGACGAAAACTGGATGATTCCAAATAAATGACAGCAAAGTAAAGAGAGCCATGTGAGTTTTAGCTTGAAGTGGAAAAATCCAAAAATCCAATGCCCCACACTGCGATGACTATCGGATATTAATCATGATGTCTCACTTCCTTAAAACTTTTCTTAGAATATCTTTCATCTAGTAAATTCGTGTAGAATTTACTAGAAGTGTGAGTTTCAGATGAGTGACCCTCAATTCGGATTTCGAAATGGATTGGTAACACGAGAAAGTATTTTTGCCTTAAATGTGTTAACAAAACAATGCAGAGTCATAAATGTATATGTATACGCTTGTTTTACTGATTACCGATAAGCATTTGACTACGTTAACTATCAAAAGATGCTCAAAATTCTGAGAACAACTGGAATTGACGAAGACTTGGTAATTATCTCCAAGTATCTCCTCTTATAAGTTCTATATTCACACCAAACGACAATAATTAAAATAGAGCAAGCAACACTCGAAGGTATACGAATTCGAGGAGGAGTTTTAGGAGAGGATTACTTTGCAATCTGGAAATTATAATGGAAAAATAGTTCTCTGGAAATCAGAAAAGGCATTATTGATTGATCAATTGTTTGATTTTAGTATATAGGCATGCGGAACAATACACAGAACATTGAACAAAGAAAACTTATCAAATACTGATTTAGAGACAATCAAATTTTTTATAAATACTTATATGTGCGTAATTGCTATCTTACTTGATAATTATTTTTAAAATGTCTTAATATATAATTTATGATTCAGATAAAAAAAATTTCAATAAAATCTATACTTATAAATTTATTTTCTATCTTGATAAGATATTTTAAACTTGTTTTAGTGTACCAAATTAAACACGAGTATACAAGCGAATCCGAAACGAAAAATCTCGAAAAATGACAGACTTAGGGCCTAGAAAATTCGAAGGAATTGGTCCCGTTACCAAAGATGGTCTTCCACTGGTTCTTAGATCTGTAAGTAGATATTTTTCTTATTTTTGTTTTATAATAACAATTTTTTAAATATACAAAGTTGTTATCTCTAAAATTTTAAACAAATTATCAAAAAACTTTTTTTATTTACGACAGTTTTGTCAGGTATTCTTATTTGTCACATTCTTCTTAGTTTGTGTCTGTGTTTTGATATGTTGCTTCTATTAATATTCTCACACAATTATCAGTTTCTATACAGACATGGTAATCTGCGCCAGAGATCATAATAACAAGCTAGCAAAGCTAAGACTTCGTAATAACTTTCACGGTATACTACAAGGCTCAGTATTATCGCCAATCTTATTCAATATGTACACGTACGCGTCAAATCATACAATATGCAGATGATGATTTGTATGTATGCAGAAAGCAAGAAATATATAAACGGTATGCAAAACCTGATTGCATATGATTTGCAAATGATGTTGTATTAATCGCAGATAATTTACAAGATACAGTTTCTATGATGCATTCGCTTAAATGTCTGTCTGAAAGAACAGGATTAAAGATAAACTTTGAGAAAACCAAACTTATAACAAATCTCGTAATGAGTGGAAATATAACTATTGACAATAATAACATACAACAAACAGACACCTACAAATATCTGGGACACGAAATCAAAATAAGCAGAGACAATCAAACACATGAAATACAGAGGCGAATAGGTCTAACTTAGGCAGCATTTGGCAAATTAAGCCATATTCTAAAAAGTTCAATTCCCATGTGTCTCAAGCGAAAGGTTTATGACCAATGTATTTTACCTGTACAAACTTATGGAGCGGAGACTTTAACACTCACGCAAAAATCTGCGAATAAACTCAGAGTTACGCAACGAGCCATGGAATGTGCAATGCTGAACGTGAGCCTCCGAGACCACATAACAAACCAACAAATCAGGCAAAGATCAGGAGTTCAAGACGTCATCGAAAGAACCACGTCGCTTAAGTGGAACTGGGCAGGGCACTTAGCCAGAGCACAAGATGGACGGTGGACAAGACGTATTATGGAATGGAGGCCCAGAAACTATAAAAGAAGCCGAGGACGACCACCAACTAGATGGACCGATGATATAAAACGTGTAGCGGGAAACTGGCTACAAGCGGCCCAGTGTAGAGAACACTGGAAAGAACTGAGGGAGGCCTATGTTCAGCAGTGGGCGCGATTGGCTGATTGATGATGCAAAACCTAAGTAAAGTATGTAGTTATCTCTTTCCATCTGTCTTAGAGAACAGCTTAAATTTATCAATTGAAAAATTAGCAGTATATGTCAAGACACAACCTTTCTATCAACCAAAATATATTTCCTAATAATCAATCTTTTACATTTAAAAATCATGTCAAATATTTAGGCCTTATCCTGGACAAAACAATAACGTGGAAACAACACATACAATATATACTGGAGAGATGCATCTAAGGTAGTAACTTCCTTGAATGACAACTTGAGTTTGGTGGTGTTGCGATGTAAAACATCTTTATTGTTTTATAAAGTTTATATACGATCCAGTATAGATTGTGGTGTTACTCTTTATGGTTCTGCATCCAAAAACCTTCTAAACAAAATTTACATTTTTCAAAATGGAGTCTGTTTAGCTGCTATGAAATCTACACATATACAACGAATACATGCTGAAATTTTGAGCTCTTTCTTGGGATTAGAAGAAATTTATTAAGTAAAAAACAAAACCCACTCAACTATTTCCAAATTATTCTCTTATTTTCCAGTATACGTCAATTGAACGGATCAGATCTCATTTACAAATATTGGATTAAAACTCCATCTCCGCCTATGTGCACTTCATTACAGAACAGTCCTATTTTTTCCGAGGAATTGACATTAACCAGTAAACAAAAACTTAGACTATTTTGCTCTTTGCCATAAAGCTTAAATAATGATACCCACACACAGTAAAAACAGCAAAATCAGCAACCATATCTTTAGATCTGTTTTGAACTGCTACACTGATAATAAATCCAGTCGGGGGTCCACGACTAAGGCCCCCGGATGACAACATTTATTTAAAATAATTGCAAATACTTCGGAAAACTGGGTGATCTTGATCATATCATTTTTTCAATACCGTAAGTTTTTACAGGATTCAAACTTCCTCTTTAAATATTTTTTCAAATTTAATATATATGCACTATTCAATATCCAATCTCTGCTGACTACAGGCTCACAATAAATACACATATTATAGATTTCTGTCAGGCAAAGATTTGTACGCGATTATGGACTTTTTCATGATCCTGTGGAAGTTTAGATTTGCATCCTTCGTTTATCCTAAATGCTGTAACACTTTATCCGTGGTTTAGTATGTCTTGTCTTGTCCACTAAAAATCTAGAGAAGCAAGTGACCCGATATGTTTATTATCATATTTTCTTCAATTAATTATCCGTGAATTTTGTAGGAATAGGATTGTGTATTTTTTTGATTGGGAATTCTGCTGCAACTGGCTAAGTGACTAATATCTTTGCCATTTAAAAAACATTATGTAAGGTTTCGTAAAAAACAATGTTCAAATACGATATACCAGACTTAAAGAAATAGAAATTACAGACTTAAAATAGAAATAGACCAGAATAAGAAATACTAAGAAGGAAATATTTCTCCACTATAGGCCATACATAAATGGCAACGTGAAATCAAATATTTTATCCTGTTTTTAATTGCGTGTTGTTTTTAGGAAATAAAAGACGAAAATCAATCAAAATGGTACAAAAGGATGTACGATACTATTCACAAACAGAAGCCTCATAATGGTGAGTATGCTTAAATAACATTTTTAAAATTAAGTTTAAATATATTAAAATAAACAAGGAAATAAAATATGTATGTTGCATGTTTAAATTTGTTTAAAAACATTTTTAAAAAGTTAATTGTATTTGTAATGATAAGTTGATCCAATGTATATGTCGATATTTCATTGCACGAAAATTCAGCTCGTATACCTATGTCTTTTGGTACCCAAGTAACAAGTAACTTTAAGTAACTTTAATGATTTCAATCACATCCTTTTAAGTTGGTATTTCGATTTATATACCTAGTTAAAAAGCAGTTTTTTCATAAGACTATTCGCTGACCAACAGTAGTGAGTTTTGTATTATTTTTAACACGTAGCATTCGTAATATTATATTCCCACGAATGACTTTTCAGCTTTATCAAACACATAGTTACCACAAAACAACATTTTGGTACAGTTTTTATATAAAAGGAACAATATAGTAGTAAAATTTTATGTTAACGTGGAATATAATTCAAAACGACGTTGTCACTTTTTAATCGAGACTTTTGTTTTCTTGTATTCTGTATTCTTGTAGTCAAATTAGCTTTATTTTATTTAGTATATAAACTTTTGGAAAGACATAGCATAATATCCGTGTCTCTACGTAGTTTCTATTGTTTCTATTGTCTATCATCTAAGGTAGATGGTAGCTACATACTTGTTTCCATTTTGTAATTGAAAACATGGATAAGGCTCGACCCCTTCATCTGAGTTTATCTTGATTCTATGTCCTATAATCTCGGTATAATCTAAGTAATCTTTTAAGTTGATATCAGTACCTCTAATAAAAATGGTAATTCTACAGAAGCTGTTTTATTGTGTTGGAAGATAGGCTGTAGAACCCAAATTGAGATCAGTGAAACCTATTTGGGACAGAATAAGAATCCGCGACTGGAGCCGTCTCTCTGCCTAATCTCTAGACATTTTTATTGGTGAAGTTAAAAGAGTCACTTAATTCTGAGTCTTTTTCTAAACCATCTCTTTTTATCTTGTGTCCATTATGTTTCCTTGAGGTAGGGACGAAGTGTTGTCAGGCACGGGGCTGTCAAGGCTACAATCATTTAGAGTTTGTCAGCTCTTTGGTATATCGTTTAAGCAACACTTTTCACCCTGTGTCATGTATCCCAT